CTTCTATATCTGGGATATTGTCCTCTTCCACCTAGCACGCAGCTTCAGGAGAGACACACATGGAGTGGTGACGGAGAAAGGGAACACCCGCTTAACCAGCCAGATCGGCTGAATCAACCCTGGTGATCAATGGGGTAGCAGATGTTGCAGGCAGATCGCCCTCACACACAATGAAATACACAGTGTGAAAGTACAAGGTAAAATTTATGGATGAAATGGAGATCAAGTGTACACTGTAGAGTTAATACAGATGGATCTCACTTGAAGTGCCACAGATCAATGGCATGGAACCCTGGGAGTTGTCATTTGGTGAGCCACGCTTACACTTTGGCAGAGAAGGCAAAAAGGCTTGCAAAACTACAGTTCCCAGGGTTCCAGAGCATTGAGCCATGGCAGTTCAAGTGGGGTAAAACTGCCTTAGTTTTTCAGTGTAGATGGAACCGCGTGACCTCAGCACATACTGAGAAGTTCATCCATTTGCTCTGCCCATGACAATGAGAAGGAAATCTATAAAGCTAAACTGAAAATACAAACACTGGATGTTGTTTTTGCTTGGACCAACATGAATTTCCTTTTGCCCTAAAGACCGTTTCCTTACCTCTGCTGGTGAACTGTTTCCTCTCTTTCCTCAAAAAACAGATTATGCCAAATGTTAGCAGCAATACAAATATCATGGTGATCGCGATAATCAAATGTAGCATCAATATTAGTCTGTCATCTGTGAAAAGCAACTTACTTACTTAGGCGATCCCTCGTTGGACGAGTAAGATGGTCTTCCATGATGAGTATTCTTGTGGATTCATAGGTGGCTGTGGAGCCCTATTCTTGACCCGCACCTTCTCCCACAGTGAAGGCATTGGTTTCCAGGTGGAAGGCGGTCCCAGTCGGGGTTGGCTTGACGCGCCTTCCTCCTGGCACGTTTCTCCTTTTCACCCTCCACTCATGCCTCCTTGAATTCTGCAGCACTGCTGGTCACAGCTGACCTCCAGCTGGAGCGCTCAAGGGCCAGGGCTTCTCAGTTCTCAGTGTCTATGCCAGAGATTTTAAGGTTGGCTTTGAGGCCATCTTTAAATCTCTTTTCCTGTCCACCATTCCGTTTTCCGTTCTTAAGTTCAGAGTAGAGCAACTGCTTTGGGAGACGGTGGTCAGGCATCCGGACAACGTGGCCAGCCCAGCGGAGTTGATGGCAGAGGACCATCGCTTCAATGCTGGTGGTCTTTGCTTCTTCCAGCATGACGTTTGTCCACTTGTCTTCCCAAGAGATTTGCAGGATTTTCCGGAGGCAGCGCTGATGGAATTGTTCCAGGAGCTGCATGTGACGTCAGTAGACAGTCCATGTTTCGCAGGCATAGAGCAGGGTTGGGAGGACAATCGCTTTATAGACAAGCACCTTGGTATCCCTATGGATGTCCCGGTCCTCACTCTCTGCTTCATTTGGGAAAATGCTGCACTGGCAGAGCTCAGGCGGTGTTGTATTTCGGTGTCGATGTTGACTTTGGTGGAGAGGTGGCTGCCAAGGTAGCGGAAATGGTCAACATTTTCTAATGTTACACCGTTAAGCTGTATCTCTGGCATTGGAGAGGGGATGGCTTGTGACTGCTGGAACAGCACTTTGGTTTTCTAGATGTTCAGTGACAGGCCAAGCTTCTCATATAAGGTGTTTAGAGTGGCTTGTAGATCTTCTTCTGAACGCGCACAAACGACATTGTCATCAGCATACTGGAGTTCTATAACAGACGTTGTTGTAACCTTGGTTTTGGCTTTCAGTCTGCTGAGGTTAAATAGCTTGCCATCTGTCCAATAGATGATTTCCACTCCGGTGGGAAGCTTCCCGTCAACAAGGTGAAGTATCATAGCGATGAAGATGGAGAATAGAGTTGGGGCAATAACACATCCCTGTTAAACACCTTAAATGGGTCACTTTGGGAGCCATTGCTGTCCAAGACTGTTGCCATCATGTCATCATGGAGGAGCCACAGGATGTTCACAAATTTGCTTGGGCACCCGATTTTGGAGGATGGTCCAGAGAGCGCTGCGATTCACTGTGTCGAATGCCTTTGCAAGGTCGATGAATGCCATGTACAGAGGTTGGTTTTGTTCCCTGCATTTTTCTTGGAGCTGTCGTGCAGTGAAGATCATGTCCACGGTTCCTCTGGAGGGGCGGAAGCCGTTCTGGGATTCTGGGAGGGTGTCTTCTGAGAGGGGCAGAAGGCGGTTTGCAAGGATTCTTGCGAGGATTTTCCCAGCGGAGGTTAGAAGGGAGATACCTCGATAGTTTCTACAGTCTGTTCTTTCCCCTTTTTTGAAGAGGGTTATGATGGTGGCATCCTTGAAATCTGCTGGGATTTTCTCGGTCACCCACACTTTTTCTATGAGCTGGTGGAGTTGGTGTGTCAGCTCAGGTCCTCCCTCTTTAAAGATTTCAGCAGGGATCCCGTCTGGTCCACTGGCTTTGTTATTCTTCTGTTGGCTGATGGCATTGCTGACTTCTTCCAGACTGGGCAGTGCTGCAAGCTCATCCCTGGTTTGTTGTTGTGGGATTTGTGAGAGGACCTCTTCGGCCACATTGGAGCTGCGGTTCAGGAGGCTTTGGTAGTGTTCTTTCCAACGTAGTGCAATTGAGTTTTGGTCCTTCAGGAGTTTGGTTCCATCTGATGAGCGTAGAGGCTGTATCCCATGGTTTCTTGGTCCATAGATGACCTTTGTGGCTTTGAAGAATCCCTGAGCATTATGGGTATCTGCCAGGTGTTTGATTTCTTCAGCCTTCTTTGTCCACCAGATGTTCTTGAGTTCTCTTGTCCTTCTTTGGACCTCAGCTTTTGCACTGGCATAGATCTTTTTCTTAGCAGCACAGTTGATGTCTCTCTGCCATGTTTGGAAGGCTTTCCTTTTCTTGTCAATTAGCTGTTGGATTTTGTTGTCATTTTTCGTCAAACCAATCTTGATGTTTCTTGGCTTGGTATCCAATAGTTTCTTCGCAGGCTTGGATGATGGAGGTCTTCAGTTTGTTCCAATGTTCCTCAACATTTTCGGGGTGTACTGTGGGTAGATGGTCCTTGAGTGCTGCTTGGAGATGGGCTCATCTGGAGGGCTCCTGAAGGGCTTGGGTGTTCATTTTGCGCCTTGTTTTCCTTCCTTGGAGTCTGCGCTTGGGAGCGATCTTGATAGCCATTGTGGATTGGATTAGCCTGTGGTCAGTCCAGCAGTCGTCAGCACCTGTCATGGCTCTTGTGAGGAGCACATCACGGTGGTCTCTGGCACATGTGATTACATAGTCTAAGAGGTGCCAATGCTTTGACCGGGGGTGCTTCCATGATGTCTTGAACTTGTTTTTCTGGCGGAAGAGCGTGTTGGTGATGACAAGGTTGTGCTCCGCACATTTGGTGAGAAGCAGGATGCCATTTGAGTTGCTGTTTCCAACCCCGTCTTTTCCTATGGTCCCTGGCCACAGGTCGAAATCTCGCCCGACTCTTGCATTAAAGTCCCCCAGGAGGATGATTTTGTCCTCCTTAGGTATCCCCGATAGGACGGTGTCCAGCTGACAGTAGAATTTCTCCTTGATGTCTTCATCAGCATCTAGTGTTGGTGCATAGGCACTTATGATGGTTGCCCGTTGGTTTTTGGCAAGATCTTCGGAGGGTTGAGAGTCGTTTGTTGATGCCAGTGGGTGCTTCGGACAGATGTTTCATCAGATCATTTCTGATAGCAAAGCCAACTCCGTGTATTCTTTGGTCTTTTTCGGGCAGTCCCTTCCAGAAGAAGGTGTAGCCTCCTTTTTCTTCCTTCAGCTGTCCCTCTCCTGCTCTCCGGGTCTCCTGGAGGGCTGCTATGTCGATGTTGAAGCGTCCCAGCTCCCTTGCAATGATGGCAGTTCTGCGTTCGGGGCGTTCACTGCCACTGTTGTCCATCAGAGTCCGTACGTTCCACGTACCGAAGTTCATTTTTCTTTTTTGGCCGCAGGGTGGTGACCCCACTGGACGCGGCAGTCCAGTCAGGGATAAGAGAGGCAGACTATGTTTAGGGCACCTTTTCTAGCCCCCTCCCCATGTGGGGTGAGCAGAGTGGGTCCTCAATAGGGCTGCTCAGTCGCGGATACAGCTGCCGAACTACTCAACTGCCTCGGACCTTGAGGTAGAACGACTGAGTCCGTACCCACCGCCCATGTGCCAGTCTGTGACTAGGGGCTTCCAGATTTCACAGTCCTGCCCCCGTCGCCACTCGCTGATTGCCATGGGACTTTGGTTGGTTTGTTTTTATTTTCTTTGGAAGACGCCTGTGCGTGGTTTTTTTAATGTGTGGAAGGTCAGTGCACAACTGATCAACACACAGTCTTCACAGAGTGAGGTTCCACTGGTGATGTAGTTTAACACAATGACCGTGGCTTCTCAGTCTGTTGCAGCCTTCTTCCGCCTTCGCAGCCGTTGTAACATGTGCCATGTTATCCTCCGCCTGCTCCGCCGTTGAGGTCTTTGGGTCTTCGGACTGTGCTTGGTCTGGAACCTCCCCCGCGGCCACTCCTGGGAGTGCACGACTCCAGTATTGTTGTGCCTACAGGTTCATCGGAACGCGCAAGCCCCCTCACCACGACAAGGTGACAGTCCATCGAGGGGTGACAGTCCATCGAGTTTAGTTCCACAGCTCTACAGCCAGCGTTGCTGGAGAAATACAGCTTCACAGCTTTACAGCCAGCCTTCGCTGGGAATTAAAGGACTTCCTTCCTCTTGGAAATCTTCACAGAGACTTTGGCCTGGTAAGGACCTCTCGCAGCAGTCATAATGCAATTTGGAACCGGGTGTAGGGGCCCACGCCAGCAAAGCCTAAGACAGATTGCCCAAGGAGGGGTCAAGGATTTCCCTTATAGAAGGAAGGAACAGTTTATGAAGAAAGTTGCATGTCCCTTGTGGACAGGATTTAAGCAAGCCACCAGTTGATTCAAAGCCTTGAAGTATTTGTTTGATTTATTGAAGATTTAAGCAACAATAAAGAACTTCGTTGAACTTTCTAAGCCTCTAAAGAACTTTGTATAGGGAAATCCAAAGGGTCTCTCAGCCGAGGCACCCCCGGCGTCCCGTTGGGCATACAGAAAACATGTTCTGTCTACAGACATCCTCACAGGCCCAGCGTGTGACAGCACACTGCATCTTTGCCTCCTAAGCCCAAAATTCTTTTGCAGCCACAACACTTCACCTTCTGCTTGCTGTGAGCTGACGGCTCAGTTAAGTATCCTGTTTATGTTTTTGGATGCTCTGCTGTTTTTAAGAGATTTCCCTAATGGGGGAAGTGTCTTTTTGGCTTTCCCTACTACCTGGAGGGATTCTGGGAGTGGCAATCTAAAAGACGGCTCTTCCTCAGACCCAGAGGGATTACCACTTCTGAGTCTTCCTTGTCTAAGAAAACATGGCCATGGATCCAAATTTCCCCACTCACTCTCTGACCTGGGTACCTATCCCTAGGTGTTCTTGGGCAGATGTGGGGGCATCTCAGTAAATTTCCAGAGCTTCTCTGCCTGGTCTTTGATGTTAATCTTCTCCAGCACCCTGGCTGCCACCTCTATAGCGTAATTCTCAGTGTAGTATCTGCACATGAGATCAACCACTTCCAGCGCGTCTGCCTTCTCCAGCCGCCCTTTGGGGATGTTGTTATAGCCTTCCCTGACTGGTAATTCATTGAGTTTCTTCTTAAATCTCTTGAAATCCTCCTCCTTCAAGTTCTCCAAGATGTCCAGAAGGTGGTCACCAGGGGCCTTTTGGTGGCTCATCAGGTTTGGCGCTGGCACCTCTGTCGAAGGAAGACATCACATCAAGAAAATATGTATTTGTGGTCTAGAAAATGAGAACAATTATTTTCCATTGCACAGGCATCTTTTGAGAATAAAGAAGGCTATTTTGCAAACTGACTACTATTGGTGGGATTGTGGGGAGGGGCAGAATCAGCAAAACTAATCCTTCTTGTGGAAGAGCATGGGTTCTAGGCTGAGAGTGCCAAATCTGTGGTCTTCTGATCCAACTGCTGCCTCCCCCCTCTTGTCCAGTAAGAAGCCAATGTGGAAGCCATGGATGTGTCTTGATAGTGAATAAGGTGGAGGTGAGCACAAGCTATGATCACTTGAGGTAGAGCAATGGTTCTTAACCTGTAGGTCCCCAGATATTTTGGCCTTCAACTCCCAGAAATCGTACCAGCTGGTAGGATTAAGAGAAGCTTAAAATAGATAGAGGGACTCACCCTGTGTCTCCGGACTTGCATCAACTTTGATTGATTTGTGGGGTTGTGGGATGCAGGCAGCAGCAGCACCTGGAAAAGGAAGAAACAGCAACTTTGTGTGTAAACTGCATAAATCAGGTAGTGGAAACAGTGTAGTTGCATGTGACACCAGAGATTATTTTGGATTAAAAAATTGCCTTTAAATATGCAAATTGCCTCCTACATGTTTATCAGGATATCTCTATCTTGGATATTTTTAGGCATGGGAACAGCCCTTGTTGCCCAAAGGAATTTCCAATTCTTTTTCAGGAGGGACAATGCAAGTAATACAGCCCTCCCAGTTTCCCCCTGACACATAGAATTCAAGAATGTGTGAGAAATGAAAAAAAAAAATGACAGGATATGAACCACTTTCTCTGGAACAGGTTAAGGCGCAGCATGTTTCCACAGGTTTTATCACATTGCAGTTCCCATCTGCCCTAGATGAGATAACCAATTGTCATGAAAATAGGATTTACAGCTCAATGGCATCAGAGGCTGATGGTGGTCCATCTCTATTATACTCACATGTAATTAAAACAGTCCATTGTGGGACTCTAATAATTCAACAAAAGTGGGGCAGCATATATTGAGTGACCTATTGATAAATTACATGTAAACACTTAATACAAAATAAGAAATATATTCTGTGATGAAGATAAGCACTTGGAAACTGAAATGCTGAATCAATATCACGTAATAAACTGAGTTGGAGAGAATTCAGTCTTCACCACCAAGCCATCAACAGTTTGATCTACAAAATGTAGATGATAAAATTAAAAAAAATGTATTTACGGTTTAGAAAATGAGGACAATAGTTTTCTTGCGCACAGGCATCTTTGAGAACTAAGAAGGCTATTATTGGTGGGACTACTATTGCTGGGATGGGGGGGGTGGGTCAGCAGGGTTTTAATCCTTGTTGTGGAAGAGAATGAGGTCTAGGTTCAGCCCTGGTTATAAGCAGAATGTGTCAGTTTCAAAGTCTATAATTAGAAAGGGGAATTTAAATAAGAAAGTTCAAGTACATGGAGCTGCTCTTCCTTCTCCAACACACACACAAAAAACATAGCCTGAAATTGCTACAATGTCACAGCTATGGACTTCTGATCCAATTGCAGCCTCCCCGCTCTTCTCCAGTAAGGAGCCACTGTAGTGACCATGCATGTGTCTTGATAGCTAATAGGTTGGAGGTGAATAAAAAGCCATGATCACTTGGTGTAGGATCTTGACCATACTTTCTAGGACCAGATCAAGGCAACACGGTGGAGCACATTGCTATGATCACTTCATGTAGGATCTTGCTCCTTCTAGGACCACATCAAGGCTGCAATTGACCTTGGGCTCCTAGGCTGGTATAAGTCCCTCATGCAAACACATTTTGCATCTTCAAGCATGCCCAAAAGTCTTCCTCACCTTCTATGGGAGGTGAAATAGTAGACTTCAAGTCCTCTGAAAGAAAACAGGAAAAGATGACAGTTGGAGAGAGAATTTGACTGGTGTAGTTTTCCGAACCTTAAATCCCAACTAGTTATGGATTCCACCCTGGGCCAAAACTCACCTTTTCTTATGACAGCTATCCAGACTATTTCATTTGTGTCCTTTTCAATCAGGAAAATATTTAGTTCATCTTTCATGTCTTCAGCATGTAATTCAAGGTACTGTTGTTCCATGTCTGCATGCAAGTATTTAAACTTCAAGTCCTGTGGAAGTGAGTGAGGGTTCAGAACATGACACTATTGTTTTGCTCATAGCTTTTCACCTAGCCCAGCCCTCTGTGTTGACAAAACCTTTTTAAAATAAT